GCAAAACTTAATGTTTTTATTGCAATATGGCATTTAAATAAAACTAAAGACTCAATAAATTACCAATTCTCTTGCTTCTCAATTCTTAGAAACTCAAATGTTATTAACCATATAAACATTTTCAATCTATAGTTCATCATTATAAATAAGTTAAAATGAACAACAGAACAACTGTTCTTCACTTAATTTATTTGCACTGTTTATAATAAATTAAACAGATTAGGTTGAAATATTAAAAATGAACACTACATTAAGTTAATTTGTACACCCTAACTTTTATTTTGGAAAATCCAATTAACCAATGTGAAGTTAGTTTATTTAATTTTCTTCTAAAAGTTTCACTGTATGGAACAAGAGAAAATGTGAAGAGAATAATTAATTTAAATACTATAATAGATTTTATGCTTTTTATTTAATACCGTTTTCAGAAAAATATTTTTTTTTTGTTATTAAAAAAATACTAAATATTAATTGTTATAATTTTTAAAAATGAATTTGGAAAAAAGAAATTCATTACTTTTGATGTAAGGAGACATTCAGTTATTATATTAACATAATTTCCACCATTTTTGGTCTTTCTTCTTCCCATGTAGATAGTCTAAACATTACATTGGCTCCATTCACCTGTTATTTAAATTGTAAATTGTGCTCATCTGATTCCTTTTTATCTTTGTTAGAGTAAAAGAGTAAACCAGATATTACACCATATTGATATTACAAAATATGTTACAAGATATCATATTTATAATTCAATCATAAAATGAACATAATAGATTTATTTTCTAAGTAATCAAGTATGATTATATCTAAATTAATAAGTTCTGGAAGTGAGGATTAGATGAAGGTCAGGTAGTGTAACTGGCAAAGCAACTGCATGGTAAGGGAGTTGCTGGTTTTGGGCCAATTCTTTTCTTCCAAAACCTTCTAAATTAATTATTAAGTTTAGCAAGAGATGGCACTAACACCTGCCTCTAGTGGCAAATTACTTAGTAGTTAATTAATAATAATAGTAGAAACATAACCCAATATAATTTGACAATCATTTGGCTTTAATATATAACTATTGGGTTTGATGTTTATATTTGGAACTTTTTTCTGCTATAACTTATTAAACAATACAATTGAAAAAAGTAAACATAAGTTTAGTTCTGTTTTATTTCTAATCTTATTGCATTTTACTATAATTTTTCAATATCTAAAGGAATTAATATTAAAGAAATACAGAAATCTAAATATTTTATAATACTAATAAACATTAATTCAAGAACCATGAAATACAATTTTTTTTTTAATATAAATTTCTTCAAATGCTTCTGAAAAGTTCAAACCTTTGCAATTAAAGGAAGTGGAAGTATGCAAATTAACAGATGCTTTTTATATACCGTATATAGCCAAGTAAGAAAGGATGAAAGAGATGATTAATAATTTCTTCTTAATACTTCAATGGTAAAACATCAGCAACAACATTATCATCAAACAAAGTACAGGATAAATCCATGTACTTACAGGTTCCATGTAGCCAGTTGGACAACTTTATGGTCATAAAATGTGCAATGTTGAACTGGAGTTGTCAATCATCATCAGAGCAATGAATTTGGATTAAATTCAAGAGGGCACAAACAACAATTCGCAAGTTACAAGAAAATGATGGTGTATGATGTCATGGAAAAGTATGATGCTGTCTCCCAGAGCAAAACTGTCAATGTCCAGTATTATCAGATTTCTTAAGCATCAATAATGCTCAACTCTTCAATAAAAGAAACTGCATTTCCAACTCATTCCACACATTGTGTTGTACAATAGTGCTTGCAGTCATGTGATCTTTCCTATTATAGATCTTCTGTGACATGGGGATGAAAGATACTTGAACATTTTCCTTATTCTCCAAATGACGATTACTACTACTACTACTACTACTTCTCAAAAATAAAGGAATCTCTTTACGATAGTGACCTTCTTAGAAGTCCTCAACTCAGTATCATAATACTTAGTGGGATCATATTCATTTTGTAAACACTATTTTCAGCATTTGACACAAAATGAAGGAAACTTGATTTTTGATGAGCACTTGGTTAGATGATGACTACACACTCATCAAAGATCAATGACAACTGAAATAGGGTAACTATATTGTAATATTTTTTTATTGCTAATAGGAGCTTCAGTACTTTTCAATCTTGTTACATCTTTTTGTTGTTTAAGTCTTTGACATGACATAAGTGTATTTAGAAATAATTTGTGTAAAATTATGAGTCTAATTTCCCTCTCTCCTGTATTGTTACTACTATTCAAAATCTATTTTCTATGACATTAATGCCACAGAAATAAAACTGACTGAATGAAATGTGTTTTAAATTTTATAAAGTATGGAAATCTTAATAAAAACATTTTTTCCTAAAAATCTGTATGAAATTTTCCTAAAATATATTAATTAATTTTAGATGAAAGTATTAGTAAATTAAAATATTTGAATATATGCTAACCTTCTGATGACCAGAAGGGATCATAAAATGAACCAAACATTAGTTTTTGCTTAATATTTAACTCAAAATTTTTAGCACTCATGATTTGTTTAAATTAATTAATTAATTAACCAAGTTTTATACCAATTCTGTCCCAAAAAATCAAATATTTCCCTAAAATAAAATTATTCTTGGGTTTGTGTCAGAAATTAACTTTGCATCATCATTAATGATATAAAGTTGTTTAATGCTGTTTAGTGCATCTATGTGTATTTTACTTGAGAACATCAACTTAGTAACATGCCTTACAAAATAACATAATCATAAATTTTGGGAATATTGGCTTGATATTCTGATTTGGGAATATGACACTTACATTATCTACAACTTTCAACCCACAACAAAGACAGAAGGTACATGGTGTGATGCAGATCAATTAGTAACATGTTCTAGCATATATACATATGAACACCTGTTTCCAAGCATGTTATAACTTGTTATTGCATGTTTGTTTCATAGCCTATATAGGCTTATTTCTTGCACTTGTGATGTGCTTTCAGTTTACAATTTGTAGTGGTTAAGTAATGGTAACTTGGAATGTGTTCGAAAAATTAATCAATGAACATTTTGATGATACTCCTAATGAAGTACCAGAAGTTGAAGATGCATTATTTGAAGAAGATAGTGAAATTGAATAACATGAATCATCCAAATCATCTGTACATACAGACAATGAATTATTCAACAATAAGTCATTCATATAGTACAGTAATCAAAATAATGAAGTTCAACTGAACAACTATTAGTTAAAAACAATCATATTGAATATTAGTTTTTTGATGTATTTTATTACAGCTATATTTCATTTCCTAGTATAAAACATTTTTCTTGGATATCATTAAATATGTTTAAACTTAATTATTACGTTTTATTTCATATAGTAAGTAAGTAAATCAGTGCTTATTGACCTCATACGGCTTTCTGTGATTCCAAATTTTACCTGGGCATTGGAGGATTAAAATAAATTATAATATTTTATTAGAATTAATAATTATTGCTAAATTCTAAATTATTTTGTCTAAATATTTTCCAAACTACTAGATGTTGTTCATGGACATCTAGGATTCTGCAGAAAAGTCTAAGAAACACTGTAGTAATGCAATCGTATATTTATGGGAACACAAAACTGGACTTGCTCTAGTAGGAAAAAGTTTTCTACACTACTGTTTTCATGCTAATATGTTCATGCTTAAAAGATATGCAAACTCTTTTCTGTAACTATATAATTAACTTTTCTTTTATGTTTAAATTACATGATGGCATGTTTCATACATTTTAATGAGAAAAAAAACATTTTAATTGAAAATGTTTTTATAGATACATATAATAAAAAATAACATTATAAATATTGTTAGTGTATGTAGACTGATATTGATAATGATAAACTGTTATAGAATTAGCTAGCTAAATAGCAATCAAACTTAGGAATTTTTAAATTGAACAGAAATTAATTTATAAACTAATTTGATACTAAAATAAAATCCAGCAATGAGTTGTTTAACTTTTCTGGCAACATTTGGTGATGCCATCGTTATGATATTTTATTAAAAAAACCTATTATATTTTTAATTTTTATAAAAAGGCAAAAAGCTTAATTATGAGGGTAGGGATATGTTTTGTAAAAAATTGAAAATACTGATTAAAGAATAAAATTATCATTAAGTCTCAACCCTACTTGAGATATGACACGACTCCCTTTATCTCCTCACTTCATTGATCTTTAACAACCAAAATTTAATAGCATCAATTTTCTAATATACAAACCTCCCTAAAAATTTCACAAATTTTTGACAAAAAGCACAGGAGTTGTTAAGCTTCAAAGAAGGAAAACAAAATTGTGCTCCTCCACACACAAACAAACATCCATATATACAGAAAAAATCCCGAATTTTTTGCGCTACTTGACATTTCAAGGTCCGAAATCTAAAAATGTAAAATTCTAGAGGGGTCATTTTTTGACTGATCACCATACTTCCATTCTGTTATATATAACAGCCAAGAAAGTAATAAAAATCTGTGTTGTGTTTACATATAAATTACAAATAAACTTCAATATTTCAAATTCTAATTATAATAAAATTCATATTCAATTCAAATTTTTTGTGCTTTTACTAAAAAAATGAAGAAATAAATTATTCATTATTTAATTCCTTGACTAAGAAGTCAAGGAATTAAATATTTCAGTTGAAATATTTAATTCCTTGACTTCTTAGCTAACTGAAATTCTTAATAATAAGTAATGCTTCATCATATTCTTCATCTTGTAATCTAAGGATCACAAAATTAGGAACACAATGAATCATTTTAATATTAGAGTCAAGTTTTAAATAATAATGATATCATTTACATAAAATTTGAATTATGAATGATAAGAATCTTTTTCAAAATACTTATTTATATCATCAATCATAATTATAATGAATAGATAGTATAACATCACTTATCATTATTTTTCTTTTTTTCTAAATTACATTATGTATCAATATACATGTGAATTGTGTAATTCATTAATACTGAATATCACATTCAATCATTTTTCTTATTATTCAGAAAAGGGAAATCCCTTAAATTGTTTGAAGATGACACATCAGTTAACCTGTATCCACAATATTCACTATTAAAACAATTTTAGCCCACCAGTGGCCAAGCAGTCTTCGTACCCTGAATACTGGAAGTTCGGTTAGGGTTCACACCTTGCTTGGACAGGCTGGCCATGTGGAGTTTTTTGGGGTTTTCTTCACGTCTGTCATACCTAAATAGAGGTCAGTTTCTCTTAACAAGACCTCCCAGAAGGCATCCCCCTAGGCAGATCGCCCAAGTGTTGCATTGCCATAACTTAACAAAAATCAACATCATAAAACAATTTTATCAAGCATTTCTAATCAATATTAACTATATTTAAATAATTACCACTTAATCTGAAATTACCCTATTGAACAGTCTAATACACACAAATACATATATCTTATTAAATTTATGTATGTATTTGTAAATCAGAATTACTAAATCAAAGACTGACAAATAAAATTATCCAAAAGAACTGAAACTGCTAATTCAAACTGAACTGTGGAATTAACAGTTCTAAAAATTTATCAGCTGAGTCATCCTGACATGTGATTACTAATGATTTAGAACATAGAATCAATAAAATGCAGAATTTTTGTCATCTCTCAAGTAATAATGACAATAATTTTAAATATTTTGATTATTATAAATTTATCAAAAATTATTTATTACTATATAGTATTTATATATGTTAATAATATTGATTTTATATATATCATTACTTTACAAATAAATGAATGCTTACACTTTTAAAAATAAAATATATATATATAAATTTTTTTATTTATTAAGCTGTTTATCCATTAGAATAAATATATACTTTTTGAGGAAGTAATTGTATATGAACTGGCTGAACTTCATAATTATCAGTATCAATATTGCACCATTGTTCTTTGCCCTGAAAAATTAAATAAAATAACATATATATATATATATGAAAGTTTTATTAAATTTACATAATTTATAATTATCAAAATTATTATTTGTAATAATAAGTAAACTCTTATGCAAAATAAAAAACTTTGTTTACACTGACTTTCAAAGTATTCTCCCTTTTCTTATAATATTTGTTTTACTTATTTGTGGAGTTATGATTCAAAAATAATTTTTGAATTACTATTAGTAATAATATAATTTTGTATGGAAATATAAAGGAATAAACTTTCAATGAGATTCTCCAAAACTTTTCAGATAAATTAAAAAAATACTAAATAGTATGAAACTGAGTTTGTAATAGTTGCTCCATCAATTCATTATTTATTTCAATTTTGGCTTCTATAATCCAAGTCATTATTAAATCCCATTCCTACCATGAAAAAGTAATGCAGAAACAAAAACAGCAAAACTTTTCTATTTTCATAGCAAAACAAGATTCCAGAAAATTTATTTAATTACTGATTTTTCTGATGTCATATGCAGAAATAAAGTTAGTATCTAACAGAAAACAATAGTAGTTAGGATATTCCAGTGAAATTCCATTGTAACTTAAAAAGGGAATCCAAGATATACATATTGTATATCTTGGATTTTCTTTATCACTAGCATGGTCAACCAGGTGAGACTTTCCTGTGTTTACATAAATATCATTTGTAATGCATAGTACAATTTAGTTTTGTTTCAATTATCTGAAAAGTTCTTAAAATTTCAAATTAATGCACATGATATAATACTAACATCTATGAGGAATGACAGTACAATCTATAAGACTGAACTGATTAATTCAATCTTATCTTTTGAATTATCTGACTTCAAGTTAATGAAAGCTAACTAATATTTTATAAAACCTTCTTCTGTACTCAAAATCAAAGATCTGTCAAAGCAGTTTAATCATTAGTGTGCTTCTTTTCAAAACCAACTTGTTCCATGTAAAATATTGCCACAAACTATAGCATAAATTTTAAAAGTTTCTTTGATCATGTCACATATGTCAATACTAGTGTAGTTTACTTCACAAAATTTTAAACTTGTGATAAATTTATAGATATTCATCATAAATTTGAAATTTAATCAAACTTATTTTATGAAGTTTTATTGTAATAGCAATTAGATTAAGGAATACAATTAAGTTAATACAAACTTGTTTAAAAATGAATAATCAACAAATCTTCAACTAATAGAGCAGTAAGTTTAAGTCATATTTTGCTGCTGTGTTAATTTGAAACTCCAATAATTGTATATTTTTCATAATAAATAGTTATCAAAATAATTGATAATATATATTTTCAAATATTTATGTATCAACAATTTGTAACTAAAAAGAAATAAGATTAACATTAAATATTGTTAGATTTTTATAACATAATAATAAAATTAATATTTTTATTTAATGTAAGTTCTCATTCATTCATTATTTATAAAAATTTAAATTACTAGTAATAGATAAAATAATTTTAAATATTTAAACTTACCTCTTCCACATCAAGCATTAATTTTAATTCTCTAACTTTTATTACTTTCTTAAATTCTGTTTCTTCTTCCATTTTCTGTTTTCCACGAGTTATACTGTAAGAATAATTGAGAATTCTCAAACAAATATTTTTGTTGTTATTTAGCAGGAGTACTTGAGAGCTGATACTAATAAATATAATATTTGTTAACTTTGCCTTTACTGAAAATAATTTTATCTTCATCTTTAAAAAAATTCTCTTGTACATTATTTCTTAAAAATCCTTTTAAACTTTAAATTTAAATAAACATTGTAGAATGTATTTTTATGTCATTACATTAATTTAAAATGTAATGTACATATAAAATTAGTTACATGAAAAATATAAAAATAACAATTATACCAAGAATTTACAAAGGAGTTAATCTATTTGGCCTGTGAATGGCTCATATAAAATACAAAAGTCTTTTTTTGGAATAGACTTATTAATCTCTCAACTAATTAAATATCAGAAATTATGATAATTTGTAGAGTTTATAAATAATCAATAAAATATAAAATGTTTACAGTGTCTGTAAAACATTTGGAAAATTCATAATTTAAAAACTATGCCACCTGCAATGGTGTGAAATATGTTAATAGAAAGAAGTGTCAGCTTAATCTTCAATTCTTTATGTAAAATGCACCAAACGTTTTTAAAAACTTCAAATAAACAGACTTACCCCTCATTTATAAATTGCAAACGACTCAAATTTGAGGAATGGATAACAACATTTAGAAAATGTTCTTCCTATCAAAAATAAATTTATTATTATTATTATTTACAACTTTTAAAATTTATAAATAATAAGATTGCATAAAATATTTTAAAATAACTTTTCAAATGCATGAATGTTACGTCATAATTATTGTTTTAAATCTGAATCATTGTTATATGTATGTATATAATTAATATTTACAATGTTAAACCACTCAAATGTTTATATGTATTATATTAACATAACTAGAAAACTAAATTCATTAACATAATATATATATCATATATATCAACATCCTGAATTTCAATTTATTGATACTAAGCCAAACGATTGCCATAATTAATAATTAATCTGGCTATTAATATCCTATCCTGATTAATTATGGTGATCATTTGGCTTAGTTTCATTAGCACAAAATATACCATAAAATTCCAGAATAAAACTTTAAATTGCAAATGTTTTCAACCTTAGTAACCCAAAAATGGCTTCTAAATAAGGTCAAAAACATTTGCATTAAAGTGATTATGCTGAAATTTTATGGTGTAATAAAATATGCTAATGAAACCTTTATCAGCAAATTTATTTATTAATTGAATGTTTCCAGCTGTCTAAGTAACCATCTTCAAGACATAACTGAAACAATTTAATGGAATATTGAATACCAGTTTGTACATTACAATTTCAAAATTTAAAATTTTTAAATAGCTTTTCATTGTTCAAAAATTATATAAACATCACTAAGCCTGATGTATTAATAATAAACCAAATGATTGTTGTAATTAATTGATTATTTTTTGTTACTGTTAATAATTATTAAATAATTTGGTATTAGAGGTAGATGTTGGCACCATCTCTTATCAAAATTAATAATTATAATAATTTAATATTTATTAAATAATATAGTCTGGAAGAAAAGAATTGGTCTACAGTAGAATTTGAACTGCAACTCCCAGTTATTGTATGGTCTAATAATACCACTAATACCAAATTACTTAATATCTAATTAGTAATAGTAGTGAAAAACAGCCAGATTAATTATGGTGCAAGTTTGGTTTACTACTGATCAGGAAGTTATTCATAATCGAATTAGTTAAAAAAAAATTAAATATAGCATTATAATAGAGTTATAGATTTTAATTACATTTTTATTATCAAGTTTTATTTAGTAATAGTTCTATAGAGTCAGAATTGGTCAAAATTAATACAAGATCCACAGAGTCAGTCCAGCAGAACGAAATATCAGGTTTTGAACATTTTTGGCCTACTCCAAAAGCCTTCTTCAGGAACATAAAAATGAAATGGAATTCCTTTTAAAATAAATTTTTCAAAAATATTTCCTCAAAAAATTGATGAAACTTCATGGGTTAATTCTACAGAAATAACCTATGAAGTTTCATCAATTTTTTGAGGAAATATTTTTGAAAAATTGATTTTAAAAGGAATATAAAGAAAACCACACCATGGATATATATATATACATATCTATTACTTATAGCATGAAATGGAATGCGTGATAAATTGTGAAACAGAAAATTTAATTTTGGATGGAATACAAATTTAAACTAATTGCATCATACAAAAGACTTCACATGATGCAATCAGTTTAAATTTGTATTCCATCCAAAATTAAATTTCTTGTTTCATAATTTGTCAAATATTTCATTTCATTCTAACGTTTTTGAAGAAAGCTTTTGGAGTAGGCCAAAAACTGATATTTAGTTCTGCTGGACTGAATTTGAGATTTGTGGATCTTATATTTTGTTCAAGTTTTATTCAATTATTCAGTTTTTATTCATATTTTATTATTATTCAATTATATAATTAAAATTCTTATTAATCAGCAACATAACTTCTCAAACACATTGTGAAATTAGTTCATTAGATGTTATCTTGAAAATTAATAAGAATATTCATTGTGTAATTAATCACTTTTACAACATTCTCATTAAATTTAATTTATAGCTAAATAGAATATTAATAAAATGTTAACATATTAATGACACAAACAAAGATATTTCATTAAAAATTTTAAGTCAAAAAAATATATTAAAAGTTTAATAAAAATGGTTTTATACAAGAAAACATATATTTTCATTTAAAGTCATTGAAGAAGAGCTTATTTGTATTGATAAAAATTTCTGGAGATCAGATAAACAATCCTTTTTAAAGATGAACTGACACTTTACAGACTGGCTTTGAGTGTATATTAATATGGAGAAAATAAGAAATATGCAATTATTTCTTCAATATATGAAAAAATCTTTAGTAATATGTGTTTGTAGAGGCATATGTTATCATCATGTTGTGCAGACATACACCATTTCCCATTTTTGCAGGGAACATTCTGATTCAACATTATTAGGAAAAGCTCTCGGTTCTACATGTAAGGCTATTCTAAGATATTGTTGTACCTAATTTTCTTTCTGTGAGCAACATTTTGTATATGGTTCTAAGTTATTTGAAGCATGCATTTATCAACCATATCAACCAAACCTGAAATCAATATACATCATATCTGGGATGATCTAGGACAAGAACAATGAACATATGGCATGCATGCACACAGTGTCATGTTGGGAGAAATTACCTGGCATGCAACATATATCATACATATACAATTTCATTTATGTTTTTTACTGTTAAATTTTAGTTTATCTTAATTTCAAATTTTTTATTACTGTTTTACATTTAGATTAGTATATCATCATCCTTTCCTCAATCAGCTTCTTTACATTTATTTGAATCAAAGTACATTCTTTTCTTTAGAAATCATTATTCAAAGTATAAAACTTTGACAGGCAAACATTTTTAAAGATAATTATACTTATTATATGGCACAAAACTCAAGAAGGTTTATCATCCTTGCTCTCAAGCAAGAGCTTTAGCGGACACATGTGTTTAAAAATTTGTACATTCTACAGCTATAAAGTTCAGACAAATACATAGTATGTTTAAAAAATAAAGTAAATGTGTTTTAATTAGAATAAATTAAAAAAGTTTATAAAAAAGAAAAAAAAATTTAAAATTAAATAAAACAAAAAACCTGAAATCTATGTAAACTGAAATTAAATCACAGTTTTTATGCCTTTTTCATGTCATTTAATTTATTTATAAGAATAACTTTTTAAACTGAGTTATACTGAAAAGTTATAATAAAAAAGTTAACTAAAATTATTATTTATTTATATATAAAATATTAATTATTATAACTGTTGCTGTCCAAACAGTAGCATTCCTGGCATGAACAAAAATCATAACCTCTGCATTTAAATTATTTTATCATTAAATTTACTTTCTACTGGCAATTGACTGGTAAGAAGAGAAAAATGATGATTCAATTTATCATAAGATGTTATAATAGTTCCTTCTCCATACTTATCAAATTGTGGTCTTTCAGCTCTTCCAAATATTTGCATTACATAAATTATTCTATATTATGCAGTGAAAAATGACTAAAATCATACAACACCATGCTAAATAAATCCTTCCAATATGACTCTTTTTGAAACATTCTGTAGGAATAAATTTCTTGTCTGTAGAGTTATTGTCTGTTTAAAAAATTACAGTTGTCCCTCTATAGTCCGACATGCTCAGTAGTCCGACGCACCTCCCGTCAAGGTACCCGTCCCCGTTACGTGTCTACTTGCACAGAAGCATGTCACGATGTGAATCTCCCCATCCAATTCTTACTCGATGACACACATTTCGTGTGTTTTATGTGAGCAGTTCTGTTCGAACAGTTGGAGTAGAGAATATTGTAAGTTACTGCTAGCAAAACAATGCGAAATATGTAATTATTTTCAGTAATCCGGACACTTTTGGTAATCTGACACACCTTTGGTCCCATACCTGTCGGATTATCAAGGGACAACTGTATTAACTTTTTAAACATTATTGTTAGAAATGATATATATATTTTTTAAATTTGCACTGACATTTGACATCTCAAAGACAAATTCACTAACCATGTATCATAAATTACAACAAACTTCCTTTTAAGTTAGCAGATTGTATTCACAAGTTGCGGGAAATATAATCACAAAGCATATCATAAGTTGTAATATTGTAAAAAGACTCATAAATAGTACAGTATTGAATAGCTCTTGAAAAAAGATATATTTGAAATATGACCTGAGTATTTGGCTTTATCATTAAATAGTCAATTTGATCATTATTCCCTATTGCTTCAATTAAAATATTCAATTTGAAGCATAAGACATTATGCTTCAAATTGAATATGTCAATGTGAAAAAATTTATAGAATTCTACATATTGCAATTGAAACCATTTATAGAATACTGTATAAAAGCTCTTATATATAATTTATCTTCTTCACAAAAACTTTATTGTCCACTTCTTTCAAACTTCTTCAGCATTTCTATTAATATAACTAACAATATTAATTTTGGCACAAATTTTACTTCACATTTCAAGTTTCATAATTTGCTGTTGTTTCACGATAGTTTATTTTCTATAAACTTTTTTCTATGTCATCCATTAAGTATTTTGACTAAAATGATATGGTATAAAATTTGGTTGTCTTTCTTCTAACTAAACATATAAAAATCAAAAAAATTCAAAAAAATAAAATTCTTAATGTCATTAAGAAACACAATATAAAATCTAATGGTCAATAAGTGATGTCATCAGACATACTTTCAGGGTCAAATTTTTTTCTTTGTTGTAAATGTTAAGATGTAATTTGTAAATACAAATCTATATATCTAAAAGTATTCCATAACATTGTTTTATATATTTTACTTGATTGACAACCCCACTTTCCACTTGTGGATAAAGTTACTTTACATCAAAACTAAAGTAATTTTAAATGACTTCAAATTCCTTAATTTTTCCCCAATAAGTGTCAAGACATTATAGGTTTCTGGTAAGTTTACAATATCAAAGAGACAGTATGTCATATTTTATGAGACATTCGTGAATTGAGTCAGATTCATGAATGTCTCATAACTTATCTCTTATGATTACAATGATTCAAATAAAAACTTATGTTAAAATGTAATGTTTTTAGCTTTATAATTGTTACCAAAATTTATATGTAAAGTGCATTTCATTTATTCTTAAAAATGATTTCCAGATAATTTTTGGTTATTAATACTGGACTGAATTTTTTTTTTGTTTTTAAATATTATATCATTACAGATTTACAGATTCAAATCTCTAAAATCTGTTTTTGAATTTCCTCAACAATTTCAGTAATCTTTATTTCATTAGCTTTGTTAATGTAACAATATTGAATAGCAAGATTTGAAAAAGTATTAAAAAATATAAATTATATAGATAAAACACAAATATCTTTACATTAGTCGTCTCAAGGTTTTTTGTTTCAATCAGTATTCCAGGAGATGGAACTTGTTCTGAATGCCATGTGCCACATTCTTCATTAATAACGTTTGTATAATCTTTTGCTGGTGAAATACCTATGAAAGACAAATTACTTTTATAAATAAATTCAGATTTTATGAGTTATAAAACAACACTTTAGAGAAATTATTATATATTAATGAAATGATCAATTATTTTAATAAAAACAACTGTTGTGTCCTCCAAATTGTTACACAATTATGTCATTATTATTTACTGCATACTACATTTTTGTTTTAGTTAACTTCAAACTATTCTTATATAAATTATACATATGACTTAATTTCTCTTTGTCAACAATCAGTTTGTAAAATTGATTCCCACTTACCCTGATTTTGCATGTGATTCCTACATGTAAAATTGATTTCTTTTAAATAAATAAGGAAAAACACAGAAAAACTTTACAATTCTCACTTGTAGAAAGATATTGGTATTGTTCATTAAATCCTTGCTTTAGCACAAATGTATATCAGTTGTCCTGATTAATGATTGAAATTTAATATGATTTGCATGGGATTAAATGCACATATAATAATTTTAAAGCCCAATGATTGTATTAAAGCCAAACAATTACTGGATTAAACCTAGAGATTGTGCTTAACACCTACCTCTAGTGCCAAATTACTCAGTATTAATAATCATTAGTAGCAGTAATGTAACCTGATTTAATCTGGTAATCATTTGGCTTTAATGGAATTAAATGATTTAAATGTCACATTATACATATTTCTTTTCTAAAAATTTTTATGATAAAAGCTGATAATATTTTTGTAATATTTATATTTTAAACAGTATATCTCTGTTCAATTTATTTACTTAGTTCACCTTAAAAATAAAATTCTTTATCGATATTAACATTTTTTAAATAACTTTCAATATTTTTTTGATTAACCCAAAAAATTAAGAAATTATCAAATATAATATTAATCAAAAGAAAAGAAAAAAAAACATATTATAAATCAGCTTTTAAATAAAACTTTAAATTTATAAATAATATCAATGTAATGAATTAAAATAACTGATCATTTTTGTAAAATCTTAGGTTGACTGAATTTATTATATTCTATAGAAAAAACTGTACAGAAATAATACTTTACATAAACTAACATTGAAATTAGGTAATTGAATAATCTGAATGTTAAGAAATTTATGCTATGTAAATTTGTTTCTTTACAGTGTGTCATTTCATTTCCATATATTTTGTTTCCAATAAATTATATTATTGTATGATATATTTAAATTTTTATTGTAATAATTTTATAAAAAGTTAAATAAAAATGACATAAATTGCTATTTACCAGAAATATTTGGAGTTTTTGGTATAAAAGCCTCCCACCATCGTCTGGATTTTATTTCAATTGGTTTTTCATAACATTTTGAACATCCACCACAGGGATAAATGTAAGACAAATCAAATTCCTGATTTGATGGCCATTCCTTAATTTAATATAAAAATAATGTAATTTTTATACATATTTGTGTAATAATCATATATTGACCAAATAACTGATTAATATAATTAATTAAAAATAGTAAAGTGTTTTATAAATTATCTTAATCTAAAAATATTTATAATTACTAAGGTAATTTATAAATATTAATTATTTTTTTAAATTCTTATATACTGTATTTACTCACATATAGGACAAGGTGTATAAAGATCAAAATAAAGAAAATTAGATTTATTAATACAATTCTAATTTTATTTTGTTTAATCACAAGTAAAATATCAAATAAACATAATGCACACACTGTCCCACAAAAATTACTGGCATTTTAAACTTTAAAGAAAAATCTTGTAAAATCGACAACATAATTTGTTCATAGCCAGACAATCGGGAACCTTTTTCTTGCCAATTCTTAACAGTTGAATCCACTCTCCATTTATTACACTTATGAGTTTCTCCGAATTCTGATTTCTGAATAATCATCTGTTTTTACATGGGAATGAATTGAAACTTATATCAAGCTCCCGTATGATTTTGGAATTTCAATCTGGAATTCAATTCAAAAGCTTTGCTTTTCCTATTGCTATTCATCTTTACTCCTAACAATATACAAGAACGATTCAAATGACAAATAAAATACTTGTTTTTAAATACAAGAGGGTAAGCATCTGGTACACATGAATACACAATTCACAAAAATTATTTGCAAAAAAACAAAGAATCTTTCGCTTGTGTATAGGACAACCTAGGAATTTGAAACTGTAATTAATAAAAACTCTCTTATATGCAAGTAAATATGGTAGTTTTACTTTTAAGTTAAATGTAATATTTAGTTAATATTTACAGCATGTATTTATCATTCCTATCATTCTAATTCTAATTAAATCTAAATGACTATTTTATTTAATCTAATTTAACAAAATACAAGTATAATACTTGACAATTATATAAAAAATCGAAACAATAAAAACAATAATCAACCTGAAAAGCTCTTGATATATAGGCAATTTTTGTTTTCAGTGGTCCAAACAGCCAATATCTGCAATATAAACAATTCTAAAAGTTGAAGAACTTATCATCATTTACAAAATAAATATATCAAAATGTACATATATAATTAATATATAAACATTCAATATTTAATGAGATAAATATATGTCATATTAAATATTAAATGTTTATATAACAATGATAATAATTTAAATATCAATATAATAATATTAATCAAGTAACATATATATATATAATACCTTAAACAAATATAAGATAAAAATGAAAAGTACAAAAATAGAAGTTTTTCTAAAGAATTTTCTGTTTTTGAAATGTCTCTTAAATCATTTATTGTACATGTATTGATTTTTTTGTCTGTACAAGTACTGACTTCATATTTAGCAATTCATGTTGATCAATATGGAAACAGAATAATAATTACTTTCTTGAATATTTACAAATAATAAATATGTTTGTGCACAATGTTCTTATTCTAATTTATCAACACTAAAATATAACCCAAGTGTTGGGTCAGATGTTTACCACATGTGAAAACCTAACGACCGGGGTTCAATCTGGAACCGATCAGGTTACACCTACGTGTGGGCACGAGATTTGGGGATGTCTTTTGTTCGGGTCAGTCAGATGAGCAGGATGTGACTGGTGTCCAGTCCAACCGTTATAACCGTTTCATTGTTATATAAGAATACGGCGATCTATGATTAGAATTCTATACACCTTAAGAACTTAACACCAAGTTTGCCAAAAAATTTCTATGCTTGCAACATACAATATTTATGACTTTAATCATGAACCAAATTTATCATCAAACAAAAATAACATAATTATAAAATCTGCAAAAGTATATGTAAAATATAATTATATTTTACATATACTTTTGCAAGTTGAAAAGCATTGCCTAGAAACATTAGATTCAAATATATATACAGTCGATCCCCCCTATAAGATCATTGATTTTTCCGTTTTATCTGAATTACATGTTGTACGAGTCACTTAGATTTTACAAATACGTGTGCCGGGCTGTGAACGGCTCACATATTTGTAAAATCTAAGTGACTCGTACAACATGTAATTCAGATAAAACGGAAAAATCAATGATCTTATAGGGGGGTCGACTGTAAA